GGAGCAGAGCTGGGTTGGGGGCAAAGAATTATGCCGGGGACCGGAGGGCGGCGCAGGGTGGGCGGGCGGGCAACGGTGGTTCGCTTCATTTCACCAAAGAACACTTCTTGCTAGTTGAACCGATAATCATTGAGACATGGAGCCAGTTAGATGCCAGGACCGGCAATCAAATGAAGTGTATAACACCGCAAAGTGAAATGTTTTAAAGCTGACGACATGTGGGCATAACAATTCAGCGTTGTAAATTAGTCATTAAGAAACAATCAACGGTCCTTACAAAGCTTACAATTAGTGAAGTGCTGCTTATTCGATTACATCACTCGAACTTATGCGCACAAACGTTTTTGATACAATCAATCCCCTTACCGTGGAGTTGACCTTCTACTTCTATATTTAATGATCTTTGTATGCTTCTATACGTTCATTTACCATAATTGAACCCCATGTGTTATGAATATGCTTGTTTGTTTTAAGTAAGCGATTGAGCGAAACGGTAACATCTCGCGGTATTGGTCTTCTTTCTGCATTGATGAAATGGATAGAGGGGACCCGATCGGGCAGAGCTTACAAAACCGAAAATCTTGTGGTTTTGACGATGCAATACGGAGATCCTAAGAGGTATACATCCAAGCATATTAGCGCAGTGTGCTGAATTAGGACCGACTACTAGTCTCTTGCTATTATACTTAATATGATATGTGAATTCAGCCTATGGAACAGCCCTATTTCCCAACATCTTAAATGGGTTGTAGATGCAAGTTTTCCATTTTCTGAATGTAGGCCGTGTTACACAAACCGTGAATCGAGGATAGTGCATGATTCGAATGTTATCGTTTTTTCACTTTTTGCAAACGAAAACCGGTCTATTCAGCTACCTGGTGATTAAGATGGTTGCATGCTTGCCTTCCATCTTTGAGATTCCGGTTCGCGATCCTCAGTCGAATCGACACTGCTGGTGAAACTCAAGCTACATAGTGTTTTCCAGTTTTCAATTCACGCTCCGCTTGACTTGCACACGAGCTTCACCTCAAAGCCATGAAAGTGTATGATAAGTTTATGCGAGGGATGTAAGCAGATTATCCTAACCAGAACATTACGTTTTTTGATGCAAGAACGAAGAGTTTGGCTAGACAAAACCTGATCCACAGGGGGAAATTTACGAAAACCGCAGTTTAGTCGGCTGGGTTTACATCCTTCAAAAGCGTTTCATCAGCTCAGAGCGCTCAGTACATCCTGTAAGACGATAAGTGCGTCCTTGAGGATATCAAATCGTAACGAACCTAAGTATCTAATGTTTCTTTTTAAATAAAAATTCACCCAGATTTCTTGCACATTCCGCAAAATGATGCTGCAATCGATCAAGCGCTTCGCATCCTACGAACTTATAGATCTTATGCTGAGATCAATCGAAAAAATATCCCATGGGAATTTTGTGTTTAAGGATTCGTTCTAATGCACGGGCTGGCAGACGAAACTTAAACCTTCTCAAACCTCACCCATTCACCTCGTTTTATTGCAGATGGACTTAAAACAAATACATTGCTGGATGGTCATGAACGGTCATGACAAAGAACCAACAACCTTCATTTTGAATATGAAGCGTGAATGGGGATGCACAAGTAGCCAAGTGACAAATAAGTCGTGTTGAATTTGTTGTTGTAAAAAGACCATCAGCCGTGTGTAATGGAAGGCATATATCCAGCGCACCCTGTCACAGCCGGAAAAACAGAATGCCGATCTGGTCGTTCTCAGCCGATAACTCGTCCGAGAAGGCATTCAACATGATATCACCATTGAACAGACAAACACTTCTGAGGATGTAAAACCTGGGACATTATTCTGAACATCCAAGCAGCCTTATGCCATCAATAAACGAATGCTCCATGTTGTGATCGCCAAAATAGATAAATAGACTCGAATGGCGGCGGTGCCAACCTCGTGGAAGAGTTGCTTTCAGAGCCGCTATAGCCGTGATCTCCATACTACAAACAACATGCTCCGTAAGTGTTTCTCCCACAGTGCCACTATCAAGAACTATGTGGGACTGAAGTTTTGAACCTGCTATCGTCAGTACGCTTGGAGTAATTAAAGTTGGAATTTTCTTATTTTTTGAGCTATGCTGTCATCGAGAGAACGTTCATGCCAAATGAACTCACAATTAGGGAAATAGAAGATGCCACAATAAATTCAGTACTTTGTGCTATTTCTGTACCACCCCACTGTACTTGTGTTACACACAGAGAGAAGAATAACTACTCCCTAATTTCATGGTTGAATTGTTCATGGATAGCAAATATTTGCGAAACATCCAAACTGTTTCATCTCGAGCCACAGTTCTATAGATTCAGAGTGTCACTTCATAATTTTATTTCGTTTATTAGTTGTTGTTGTTGTTGTTGTTGTTGGGAGGAGCTCATCAGTGAAGATTTGAAAAGGAATGAATCGTCTGTAAGCATCTTAAACTAGGCAACTTTCAGCGCGACGCCATAAGATATTTGGTACCGCTTTGGTACTTTTTGAATTGCATACTGATTTCCTCGACAAATCGTACGCATTACTGCTTTCCTCGTACACCAGTCACAGCGATTTGGCATTGAGATATTGCAAAAAGATATGCCCCCAGAAAACAAGTGGTCATCCTTTTATTTCCCCAATAACTCCGACTTCGGTGGTGTACGCTTCTAATAGAAATCAAGACTGGACTCCCAGGTACAATTACGCGCATGGGTTTAGAGCAAATCGAGTGACTAAAGACGAAAACACAATAAGTGTGAGATACCATCCAATTGCAACTCCCCAGGAGACAGAAAAGAATAACGCTCAGTTGAGTTGAATGGGGAGGAGAGGAGGAGATTCAACCGGTTCAAAGGACGACAACGGTTGGGAAAAGGCTTTTCGTGCACCTAACTGTAAAGGGCAGTTGCGAGTATTCATTCAGATTATTTCCCACACTCATATATATACATTCTGAAGGTAGAAGAAAACTGTGTTCACTGTATTTTGCTATTCAAGCAGCAGAATAGACCACATAATGAACTATTTTTATAAAAACAAATATGCATTTTTCCATAATACGTACTCTTTCCTTCTTTCGTTCGGAATTTTATCTTCGATGTAGTTAGCGAGGTCGTTCAACGCGAAAACTGCGAGTTTGGAAAATACCAAGAAGTCTGCATGGGTCTACATTACGGGATATTGTTATCCGTTATTAGGACAAGTTCAAAGTTTTATTGTGATTATCCGTCTACCGAACCCGCTTCGAAAAGTAGTGCATTGGCCTAGTGTCATCATCGCTTGAGCATCTTCCATTCCGATTTTCCTACATGGCGCATCGCTCCACAACTGATTTTCCTGTGGTAATTCCCTACCAAAACTTAAGCATCATTGGATTCGGAACCTATCCTCCTCCTGTGCCGGCCCGAAAATCACAACCATTCGGGTTCATTTATCGATCGGTAGGATGGTTCAGCCGCAACAAGGGACCTGGTGCTTGCCCAGCTAACCCGAGCGAGAAACTACACCTTGTTTACAGCCGCGAGTCTTAGATAGGCCCAGTGAACTTCGACTGTACAGCAGGTGTGCCTTCACCACATGGATGGACTGGACGTGACAACAAGAGCATTACAAAACGTAAGAGCCGGTAATCGGACAGTCTCGTGTTGGGGCGAGGGATTCCAAGTGCCGCAAATCACGGAATATGATCCAATCAGATCACAAAAAGGGTCAGAGAGAATTTTACTTGATCGAGATAACGGATAAGAGGGACAAGACGATATGAAACGATGGAGCAATCGCACTATTTAACTCTCGCAGTGTGCCAGAATGCTACTACTCAGCTGGACATTCCACTTTACCCAGAATCAAAGCACTTCGTACGTGAAGCGACAACAGGACAACCGTTCCGCCTAATTTTGTCGGTCACAACGCAGATAAACAGAAAGGCTGTTGGAAAAATAGCGATTTATCATTGGACAGCAGCGATAATGACCTGCAGCAGTAGTAGAAAAATAACACAAATCTCCGGTATGTACAATTTGCAAACAGATCTGTCACGAGTAATGTTCGTTACCAAGGTCGCCAAACATTGCCCCGATTGGTTGACTCATGCCTCGTCATCCTTTCGATTCCGCGGGCTGAGGACAGATCACACGGGGCATCCCGTTCGGTGGTCGGGCTGATATCCACCGGGGACTCCGTGGATCCATTGGACAACTCTACACCCGCACTGGAAGAACCGGATGTAGCTGACTGTGAACTGTCGGTGATGTTGGTCACATTAGGTGCAAACGTTTGCCGAGAGGAGAGAATATGCGTAACAGCCAGTCGACGTTGAGTTGAAAGCTCAGTGAGAACTGAGGAACACACGTCGGAAAGGGGTTCAGGGTTGTTAGTGTCACTGTTGTCCATATTCTTTTTGAGCACACGCCGAACGGTGGCCTCACATGACGCATAGCCATAAAGGAACATCTGAATGTTGTCTGTTTGATTTACACAGAGTGGATTTTCAGTATCATCTGATTGGGGCTTGTTTCGAGCTGACATTAGGAAGACGGGATAAACGGGAAAGAGCTTTTCAAACCGAGTTACCAAAGTGAATTGTATCCTGCAACAGTTAAAACATTGACTGATTCACAAAATGTGCCCGGTAAAGTCCAGAAACTGCGCGAAGTATAACTGTCAAAATAAACTCTTCGACTGGAACTCTCCCCCTCCACCACCAACCGGAATCACGAACTGCACATATTAACTGTTACCGCCCGATTAGAATCAGTTAAACGTTCAAACCTGTTAAACCAGAATCACACGCTTGAACTAAAAAAACACTATTCCGATCAATATGTGCTTCCCACCGTTCCACTGTGTTTGCGTTTGAACCTCAAAATCATACGTGTCCGGGTGCAAACGGCCACAAGCTCAAAGGATTTGTGCTGCTAAGTTACGATACACCAGAATATTACACGTTGAATAACTTCCTAAGAAGGAACATGCTGACTTAGAAGGAATGCATGCCAACTGCTCTCCTCTTCATCTATCCCATACCCAGGTTTTCACCCTCCCTTGGAGAAAAAACTATGGGGGAACTATTATGAAGTGTGCCGGTTCTTTGTTCCCAGAAAAGGAAAAAGTTAATCCAGGAATACATAATCAGATAATGAAGTTGGTTCTGAAAAGAGTAAATTACGTTTGAACTGAAAAGCTGGGAAGCTTTGGACAGCTGTTTCTACCCGACTGGGTTTCAGCAGTAGCACGAGTCCATCAATCCTAGTGGGGAACGAACCCAAGACCCACAGGTAAAATGCTAACATACCACTACCCGCTCGACTTCGGGCAGTTGATCAGACCGTTAATCACTTTTCTTTAGCACATACTAAAACCCATCTTTTCAAGCTTGTTGCGAATATCGCCCCCTCTCTCATCTCAACACTTGCCTCCAGGATTTTGACTCGGTTAGAAACATCTCAATTCTGACTGTTTGTCTCATATTAGTCCCATACTTCGAAACTTCGCTGGCTCTCCACACAACGAAATTCACCATATAATCAAATATAGTTTTTCATTACTATCATGAAAAGAGCATTAATGGCAGTTTTACTTCACGAGACGAATCGGGCAAACACTCACCTAGTAGCAAACTGTTTTTCACGAACTTCACTGTCAATTCGAGAATGTCCGCTTTTTCCAGTCGAGTTGTCTATGAGGAATTCAAAAAGGAATGAAAAAGAGGGAAAACAACGGCATTAGGATCAGAGAACCACAATTCACAACAATGGATTGTAACAAATCGAGAGTAACAAACAAGTGTGGCCCCTTACCCGAACCTAAACACACGCTTTGTTCGTACAGGTGCATCTTATGAGTAATTGATTCACTGTATGGTAACCAATTTATAAATGAAATCATAGACAATCATGAATGATGATGATCGACTTGCGAGCGTTTCCTACATGGTTGAACCGACTGGTAATCCGGTAACTAGTCTTCAGTTAGTAAAACAAACTCCGATAGAGGAGGTAGAAGTGAATCCTACACAGGAGGCGTTCCTTTTTGGTTATTGATTTTTAAACGCTCGTGGGCCCAAACGGACTTCGGTTAGGGTGAGAATCGCTACCGTAATGGGAAGGGACATGCGTCAACCACAAAATCGACACTTATCAATACCTGAGTCACGTATGAAGTTTGAATGGGCATGAGGGATCAGAGGCATGGGTCAAGAGAGAGCTGGCGCAAACTGCTAACCCCTTTCCTACAAGTCGTCACACAATCAAAAGACGCGGAGTCAATCTCAGTCTCAGTTGGGGTGGTCTGGGCAATCAGACCACACACCCAGCCAAAGCCTGAGGATCTCCAGTAGGCCATCATGTGATTCGAATCACTCGTCATCATACATGCAGGGCGTGAAAACCAATTCCGTATCTAGGCCTAGTGGTGATTCAAATTTTTTTCAAAGGACCTAGATCTAGGACAGACAGGGGCGTTGGGCCAGAGGTTCCAAGGCTTGAGAACCATGCGATCACTGTCCGACACAGAGCTCACGTTCAATTTAGAAACGACATTTGCCATATGATACAAAAACTGCTGGTTTTCACAAAGCGCACCATCTGAACAACACTCCTCCATCCGATCAATTTTGTCAACGCATAAACGATTAGTATTAATACTAGGGAGAATATTATACACCAGATGAGGGCGATAAAAACAATGGGATGTGTAAAACCGTTGATGTAAAATTCGCGAAACAGCAGCCGATGGTATTCGCGATCGGAATGGCAAATTCAATCGGAAAGCTCAGATTTGTTTCGTACAGTAAAAGTATGAAGTGACACAGTTAAAGTCACATGATGAAAGCTGAAGTAGCTTAATGCACGGATAAACACGAATAGAGTTGTCTTCATGTATTTGACAAACAAAATCAGTGAATTAAGCTTCTTTTGGTTAACATGAGTTCGATCTATTATAAAAAGTCCTATTCCGATTCCACATCAGCGTGTTGACTGATGTCTAAAGTTCCTTCTCTTGTATTTTCAGAGGGGAACAAGTAGTTACCATTCTAGACTGCGTGTTCGTATGACCTTTGGGTAGTTTCGAATACGTCAAGATCAATTTTGTGTCAAGGGTCAGGATCAATCGATTGCTTTTTCGACAAGATTATTACTAATCACTCTAATATGTCTCAAACTGAAGGCGCCAATTTCGTCTAGTGACCACTGCCTCCTATGTCTTAGACTTGAAAAGTTAACTCTCGCTTAGCATACCCAGCTTTTATTCAAATAAAACAAATGCACACCAAAATTCGGAACCTTTCAGCCGACAGTCTCCTCTCCCCAGAAAATCTCTTGCTAGTATCACCTCATGGTTTTCCGTTCAACAGTCTCCCTGTTCTATTGAACATTTTATAGGAACAGTTAACATGATTTCTAATCTATGATGTCCTATGGAGACAGTTTTTGTTCACACTGGCAGAATATGCTATCCGCGGCTAAAAGCTCTTAGAGGACAAAATGAACCAGCGTTCAAGATATATCAAACAGCCACTGTCAAACAACTTACACCGCAAATCAGGGCAGAGATCAAAAGACCGAATGCATCATTCGCAAAACAAGTTCTGGGAGCTGGAGATGGGAGACGGCTATGGCAAGGGATCAGATTGCTTTGTGGACAGAAGAAACGGACAACGAACAAAATTATGGACGTGGACAGCCTCAATACTGCATTCATTTATCTTTCGAATGATCTTCTGTCACCGTACCCCACAGATCATCTATCTACCATAGACCCGGTCACCCATGAGATCTATCCTCTTATAACTACGAAAACCACGAACGCAGTTGGCCCCGATGGTTTACCTTCTGCATTGCTCAAAGATGGCGCTGGCTCAGTCACAGCGATGTTTACATCCCTTATTAACCAATCCATTTACACATGTTCGATTTCGGAGTTCTGGAGACCGTTCACCATTGCTCCCATTCCTAAATCCTCTTCATCTAGCATTTTATCTAAACGCTTTCGTTTTATCGCCATCACCTCCTCTGGACTTAAACTTGCGGAGCGCGCTATTCTCACCTGCTTGCAATCTGGTATCATTATTCCCGATGACCCCTGCTAGTTGGCGTGCAAGCCAAATGGGTGCACTTTGGATGCCGTCTCTCCAATGATGCACTTAATTTGCAAATCCTTAGATAGTCCTCAAAAGTCGGTTCGTCGTGTTTTCCTTGACTATTCCTCGGCTTATGATTCCGTTCCACGATCTCTTCTGCTGCAGAAGTTAGAGTCATTCGGTTGCCCCACGAACTTGTTGTCATGGTTAAAAGATTATTTCACAGGAAGGACTCAAAGGACGAAAGCAAACGGCACTACTTCAAAACCGTTAGCGAATAATTCTGGAGTCCTCAGGGTGCTGCGCTCTACCCCTACCTATTTTCAACCTTCATCAGTGACATAGCCTCAATCCCACGAGCCAAGACCTGCAAGTATGCCGATGATGTGGTCGTATGTCAAGCCATCTCAAACCAATCGGACAGAGAATCATTTTCCGACAATTTGTTGCAAGCGCTATAATTTTCTAACCAATCCGGT